GTAAAAGTACTAATACCACACTGTAAATAAAAGTAGGCCAAACAACACGGTATAAATACTCCCTTACAAGTAAAAGTGTCAAAGTATAATCAGGACGATGTATTTAAAGAACAGAAGTGAAAGTACTCCATGCACAAAAATGCTGCTTTGACCATTACATATCACATTTATGAAGCCATTAATGGCATTTATTAGCAGTATATAGGCCTAAACTTTACTGTTAACAGTTACAAAGGTGCAAAAATGGCTTATTGTATATTAGCACAGTTATGTTTTACCATTATGCATCCTACAGCCTCCAACTGTGGATGTCCACAGCCGAGTCAGCTGCTGACAAATACTGTATACTGATAAACATGTGCTTGTAAGTACAAACAATAGCCTATCTCATGAAATAAAAACACTATAATCAGCATAAAACAGTAACTGCAGCCATGGTGACTCACAGGTTTCTATAAAACACTGGTGGTGTGGAAGGTCAGTAACAGCCTTCATATTAATCATGAAGTGTTTACCATTTTCAGAATATTTGTGCTGGAGCCGCACCACAGCTAGGACGACCCTGATGTCTTCCTTTTAATTATTCTTTCATTAAAGTTTAGATTAATGCTGAAAGCCAGTCAGGGGACAGTTTGTTTTCTATCACATTAGTCTCAGATGTACAGCACTAACTACTCCTGTGTTGTACTTGCCTGTTATTTCTACCTGGTTACAGTTTGTGCACGTGTTTGCACTGGCCTAAGCTGATATCACATTTGGTCTGTTATTATTCTTCCTGTGCAGCTTCCAGAGGTGGTGCTGATCAAAGATGAAGACTCAGACAGTAACGACACCTTCAACGAGGGTGAGTGTAAAAATGGCTCCATTGTCAATCTCTGGCACAGGGCCCTGAGCGGGGTCCCTGGTTATATACACATGTGGACTGATTTCTCAGGTTGTGACCGATGTTGGAAACGCATAAGTATATAACCATTTACAGCGAGAGCCCCGTATTGGCTCAGTGGGCAGCAGGGATGTCCATCATTAGGATTTTATTCTGTCACGCTTTTGGAAGCTGAAAGAAGCATTTAGCCGTCTACAGGCTCAGTGGGCTGACAAAACATGTTACAAAAAGTGAGTAAAGTCTTGAATCCTCAGCAGCTTTTAAAGTCTGAAGCACTTTGTTTTATTTTTCTCTTTCTTTTAAACCTCATGTTGACAACATTATCAAAAAACATTCGGACCTTCTTTCAGAAACCAACACTAAGCGGGTCTGAACAGCTGGAGGAGCCAATTCTCCAGTCAGGTGTCATTTCAACCACTGCAGAAGAAGAGGATGCGACAAAATGCCTTACTCAGAAGAGCTCCAGTGAATCAGTTGTGATTTTATTATCAGTTCTGAACAAGCATAGAATTTATTCAGATTCAGCAACAGTGATGTTTAGAAACAAATGTCAGAGTAAATATGGTCTGACCTGCAGTGGGGGTCAGAATGCAAAGCACTGGACATGCATCTCTGGCTTGGTGATGATTTGTTTTGTCTTGTCATTCAGATAACAGCCCTGGTGACGGAGGGCCGGCTGCAGCCAGAGGGGCCATCACGTCGACTCCCATCAGCCGAAGGACAAAGAGACACCGGCCAGTGAATGAAGAGGCTGAGAAGTCTTCATCCTGCGAACAGCACACACTGAAAACATCCAAACTGGCTGCAGGTACACAGAAGAACATGTCTGTCTACAGCCTTGACTCTCCTCACAGCGAGCAGGGCTGCCCCGGACAGCTCGCCGGTGACGAGGTGGAAGCCGGCGAGTCGGCGTGTTCCTACTCGTTACAGATGGCCCCGGACATCCACCTGGTCCAGGAGTGCTCGCTGGTTCCTCCCAGCACCAACAGACAGACTTATTTCCGTAACAGTGCCCTGATCGAGTCTCGGTCTCCTTCGAACAGAACAGAAATGGACCTCAGTCTCACATGGACCAAACAGCCAAAAGGTCAGATGTCTTTTGCTCAGTTTCACCAAAATGAAAACCTGGACGCCGCCGCCTTTGGGCTCAAGCTGGTCAGCGTCTCAGGCTCAACCTCCACAGACTGCCAGCTGTCTGAGAGCAGCAACTCGGCGTTTGAGTACGAGGATGCCGACATGATGAACTTTGCCCTCTACAGGGACCAGTCGGGTCGGCCTCAGCTTGGCCACGAGCAGCCGGATGCCGGCATCCGAGGGAAACGCTTCATATGCTCCATTTGCAGCAAGTCATACGCCACGTCTCAGAACCTGGACGTTCACATGCGGATCCACACAGGCGAGCGGCCATTCAGCTGCAGCCAGTGCGGCAAGAAGTTCACTCAGTCGGCACACCTGAAGTCGCACCTGAGTGTGCACTCGGGAGAGCGGCCTTACGCCTGCACGCTCTGCTCCCGGAGCTTCATCGTCAAATACAGCCTCAAGTTGCACATGAAGAAGTGTCACCCAAATGTCTGAGTGAAGGGCCACGTGGCACCAGTGTTGTGTTCTGTACATTTTAAAAAGAACAAAGGGTGCTTAAAGTTCACAAGTTAAGAGTTTGGCAAAGGCAAAGAAGGCGGGTTTAGACTCCAAGGGTTTAAAATAAGTGTTTTCCCCACGTTTTAGACCTAAATTAAGACTATTAATCACTAAGATTTTTTTTATTAACTGACAACTATCTAGACAACCAGTTCATCATTCAAGGCATTTTTCAAACATTCTGAAATGTGTTAAATAGTTATGTTTCTTTCTCTAAAGTGAATCTTCTGACTTTTTGCTTTATTGACTAAACAACTAATAAATAAAACAGCTGGCAGATTATTGTATTAGGAGATGCCTGATTGTGGAATGAAACCTGTTTTTAATGAGCTTGGTGTGTACACATGAGAAACCAGTTCACGGTTGTGTAAAATGTTAAGATACAGCAGAAATGACATGCAGTTTATCATTCTTAATAAAGGCTCTGGATTTCTAATGTATTAGTTACTGACTTTGTCAGCATAGGTGTGAGTTTGTTGAAGGTCCACTCAGGACAAACTAAAAGGTATTTAAATGCACAGCTGAAGAGAACATGACCAATATTGTGGTTACTTGATGAAGTTGCTGCAGCAGTAATTATTTTTTATTGCTTCTCAAGCAGTAACGTCATAAGACTTAACCAAACAAAGAAACTAAACCATAAGATGCAAAACAAAGTCGCACAGATGTAAAATGAGCACAAAAACAAGACATCCACAAAAAGTACATGACCACAAATGCAAAATAAAATACAAAAAGGGGACCACCTGCTGATTTTCCAAAAGGCTTTTTTCCCCTAGAAAAAAAAAGTATAATATTCCTAATATATTAATAATGTGGCCTATTAACATTTATTTGTGTTTTTATTCCTGGAATAAATCGGGAGAACTTTGCACATGCGCACTGTGGGGGTGTGTGTAGTCCTTTCCCCCGTCGCATCACTTCCTGGTTTGTGTCCGGACTGTTTACACCAGGTGTGGGCCTATATTCCGGTGAACCGGAGCGCGCGGTTGGGCTTTTGTTACCGGCCACGGTGATTTTGGACTGTCCGGTTGAAACAAAGACGCGCACGGTGCAGTAGAAAATGTCCCCGGCCGCGGGCTTCCACGCGCAGCTGGCCTCCATCATGGAGGTGCTGGCCAACACGGCGGTGGCGGAGATCTGTGAGCTCGTGGACAGCGGCTACTCCGGGGGGCCGCCGGGGGCCGGGAGCCGCAAAGAGAACGAGGTGCTGCGGAGGAAACTGCGGCTCATGGAGCTGCGAACTGCCCGCGCTAACGCGTTGCGAGTCGCGGCCACTGCAAGCAGCACCGCGTCGCCGCACGCGAGCGGCCGAGCTCATCACCAGGGCAACGAGCCGAGGAGGATCCGAAGACCCCAAGGTGACGTTAAAATTTAAATCAGACTTCGGTCATAAACGGGTTACAGCGTCAATTAACTGGCTCGTTAGTGGTTAAGAACCCGTTTAAACCATTTAGTTTAACTGGTGGTAATGGGACAGAACACTGGTGGCTTTTAAACACCTCCACACTGACGTCATTTTATAGATACACGGACAATTTAAGTGGTTGTTTTTAGTTAGTGTGGGCCCCAAGAAGACCAGCAGCCACTCTGTGGGAGCCATCTTATTTGTAGGGGTTAGTCTTTCAGACTCAGCTGTTGATTTGTGACGTGAGCTATTACAGTTATCTTTCTGTATGTGGTCCTACAAACTGTAATGTCACCCGGAAACAGATCATCCAGGTGAGGTGGTGCTGTCCAGTGTGTGTCCCCAAGCGCCGCCCTCCGACTCTGGACAGGAGCCCACACAGGTGACGGTAGGTGGAGGAGAACAGGTGTGTTACCGTGTTTCCTCTCTACCTGCTCCGGTCCTGACACTGTGCCCCACTCTGTTCTGATCACAGGCTGCTGCGGGTGAGTCGGCCAACCTGGTGACCGAGGTGATCAAAGTGGAGGATGATGACGAGTCACCTGACCAGGACAGTGAGTACAGTTTTAGTAAATACACAGGATGCATACTTCTTAACAGGACTAGCTTAAAGGTGTGGACCACGTGTGGCTGATCAGCCTGTAGTCCACACGTTTCAGACAGGACTGGACTGTCTCAACATGTCTAATACCGAATGGGTCCGAGGAGAGACGGGTTCCTGCAAAGCACAGGGGAAAACCGTTTCAGAGGCAGGCGGACAGAGAAAAGCAAGACACTTGGGAAGGGGGAGGGGGGGAGGGTACATCTTCAGAGCCCTACAATAAGCAACATCATTTTCCATACCTAACCTACCCTGAACCCCACCCTCACCCAGGTAGAGAACAGATATGAGCCCCTGCTCATATCTAATTTGAGAATCGTATGTTTTCAGCTCAGTTCCCTTATGATCTCGTGTGTACCACCTCAACTGCAGTCTGAATTACTGGTAAAATGTCTACACTGCTCTTCTTTCTTTCCAGATGGTTTTTGTTGCGTTGTTGATGAAGAGATGACAGAGACAGAAGCTCCGGCCCCACTGACCAATCAGCAGGCACCAGACGAAGGTGGCGGTTCGTCTCGGTCCTGGATGAGCAGTGAAGTCAGCTCCACCTCCATGTCTGTCCAGAAATCCCTGGCCACCAGCCAGAGGCCAGAAACCAGCAGTTACGACTGCCTGGTGTACGAGGTGCAGCTGCAGCATGGCTCCCACTCTACCCAGAATCCTCCGAGTGAGGATCCCAGCTGCTCGTACGTGTTGAGCAACAGTGCAAGTGTTTCAGCGGATTCAGGCAGCAGCAGCTTCCGTTTCGCTGTGGGTGACGTGCGTCTGTCTGTGGCAGAGTGCCAGCAGAGGGCGCCGGTACCTGCAGGACAGCCTCAGCTTCCTGGCAGGAAGGAGGCCACAGACAGACCGGGCACCGTCTCCAGAAGGGGCGGGTGGAGACATCAGGATGGGGTCAGCAGAGAGGACAGTGGGGGGAAGTCGTTTGTCTGTAACTGCTGCGGTAAAACTCTGGCCTGCCTGAAGAATCTGAAGACGCATATGAGGGTCCACACAGGAGAGAAGCCGTTCATCTGCGCACTATGTGGCAAACGCTTCTCCGACTCCAGCAACCTGAAACGCCACCAGAGTGTCCACACTGGAGAGAAACGTTATGGCTGCGTCCACTGCGGCAAACGCTTCGCCCAGTCAGGGTCCCTGAAGGTCCACATGACTGTCCACACAGACTGCAAGCAGTTCAGGTGCTCGTACTGCGGCAAGACGTTCATCTCAGGCAGCCACCTGCGAAGACACATCACCGTACACGGTGGAGAGAAACGATTCGTTGCCACCGAGTCACAGCAGTGACAGAGGTCAGGGGTCACATGCTGCACAGTGAGCAGAGCCAGGAGGAGCGGACTACAGAACACAGCACCACAGCCGTGCGGGTCCTCCTGCCTGTCAAACCTGTTCTGCTATTTGGGTCAGAGGTTAAATCATGAAGTCTAATAGAAAAACCAACAGTGTTCACAGCTGTTCAAACTATAACATGGGATAAATGAAGGCGATAGAGTCACTGGGGTTTTAATCCTGATGCTGCCCTCGGCTCTGACGGTGTCTGGGCAGCACACTGACAACACACCAACTGCACACCGTCCTTTATGTGCACCGAGTTCTTGTGAAGCTGTTTGTGTTCAGAAACATCTGGGGCCCGTTTCAAGGAGGATGTTTTGTTGAAACTCTGAGTTTGTTAACCCCGAAATGAGGGCAACTCGGAGTTTTCGGTTCCAGAAACGGAGGTAACTTAAACCCGTGAAAGCAGGGTAAGTTAAACCCGTTTCAAAAGGAGAGGTAATCTAAACTCAGAGTCAGTTACTATGGCAACTTACTCTGTGAACCTAACCTGGTTGGGAGCAGGTTTTGTTCGGGAAACCCAGAGTTTCCTCCGGTCTCCGCCCCTTTTTAAAGTGAAAGGTGTTTAAATAGGCCTACCTCATTTAATCTTTCAGTACATTCATAGAGCAGAGACCAAAATGGCGTGTCCATTTATAGAGGATCCTGTAGATGAGGACGCTGTATTAATTCGCAGGGAATTGCATTTACCTCGGGAGAGGATTTTGAGGCCACGAGTTGATTTTTTGTCATATCCCCATGTATTTTTATTTGAGCGGTACCGTTTTTCTAGAGCGTCCATAACATATATCAATAATCTTATCCACCTATACATCAGACACATCACCCATCGTGGCCGTGCTCTTACATCCGAGCAGATGCTTTGTGTTGCGTTACGATTTGTTGCAAACGGTAGTTTTCTTTATAACATCGGGGATGCAGAGCACATTAGTAAGGCCACTGTATGTAGAATAGTTCGGAAAGTGTGCCTCACCCTCAAGCGCTTTCTGTTATTTTTTGTTGTGTTTCCTGGGCACAAACCCCTCAGAGCCATTAAAGAGGAGTTTCACAGGATTGCAGGTTAGTGGTATTGAATTCGTTTCAGTAAGGCTAATCTGACAAATGATGATCAGTTAATAACATCTTGCTGTGACCTCTGGAAATAAACTAATAATTAGAATCCCCTTCAGGATTTCCTAATGCGGTTGGATGCATTGATGGCACACATATTCCCATCAATGCACCTACATGAAAATTAAAATTCAATTCTTATATTATTACATCAGTGTTGGGTAAATCTTAAAGTATTTTGATTAATGTAATAATTACTCTCCATAAAACGTATTGGATTATTTATTAATCATTACTTTACAAATCCCATATCAACCACAAGTTAAGTCAACTCAGAGTTCAGGTTTGAACTCTGAGTTTGTTAAACCTCCTTCTTGAAACGGGCCCCTGGACTCTTTGGGTCAATAAACAGTGTTTGTTGTAGTTTTTGTTTGTGCTCAAACTCGGGTGTCATTGATCACTGTCAAGTTCTGTTTTTTTAATGACATTTGATATTAAAATAAATGTAGAGTATTTAGCAGCATTCATGGATGTTTCCATAACAGCTGTCAGTTTAAATGTTTCTCATATCTTTAGTTAAATCTAAGGTTTAGTTACTCTTGATAACAATCCACAGGGCACAGTTCACACCAGCTCACAAAGTAAGGCCCCCCCACCCCCCATTAAATTTTCCTGTAAAGCTTTAAAATCTATAATATCCACAGAAATTAAGTAATGCTATATTTTCTGGGTCCCATATTTTCCAGCTACTTTCCTGAGAAGATCCTTTTTTACTTATCATTCATTCTTATATAAATTAGCTAGTATTTACTTGTAAATTACAAAGATACTTCAACGGAGGACCTTTGAAATTTGGTGCTAATTATTGGAGTAAAGGAGAACTAGAAAATCTGAGGTAGCAAAGTGAAAATAATTCAGAAACATTTGTCAACATGCAAATAAAACTCCAACACCTCATGGGCCATTATTGGAAATGTGCCAGTAGTTTACAGCCACAGCTCATCTTATTTGTAGGAAATGAGGAACGTTTCCAGGAAATTAGCTGGAAAATACAAGACCCATGAAGATTTACTGTTTAACGTGGCTGTTTGCAGCAGAGAGACGACGGCTGCTCTCCAGATAAAATTACAAATTACCAAACCTACAGAGCAACAGGTTTGTGTGATAGGTACAGTGACCTATTCCTTATATTCTTGAACATCCTGATAAACCATCATGTTTACCTTTACATTTGCCATCACTTGCATCAGCGGGAGCAGAATTCATTTTCCCCAAACTGCTCATCAGCTTCAGGTTCTTCCTCAGTCTGCTGCATCTGAAAACTGATTTTCATTTGTTCTGGAGAAACATGCACCGAGCAGAAATACAGTTTGACTTTATAACAGGCTTTAATGGAATAATTCACAATATCCAAAACTCTGTAAAAAATAAATCTTAAATCACAGCGCCATCAGAAGGCCAAAAAGGGAATCCCCTTTTCATCCAAATCAAACTACTGTTTAAGTTTTGATTTACTCAGCGATCAACACTCCATTAAAGTGTCACTTTAAAATATATCAAATAAATTCAATATATCAGATTACTTGAACATAAACTGCTAATTTAACCCAACTTTCTTTTTTGTCTCAGTTTCAAATTTAAATTGGTTTGCCTCACGTTTAAGGTTTAATTTTACAGTTTTCAGAACAGCTGAAATGAACAGTACAGTGGAATAAACTATAAGTGCCAACACAAGCAGATTCCCACCAGTGGAAACAAGTGCAGTTAAACAAACCATTATGTACAGCATCATTAACACGATGAGTCGCTGCATCACACACAGAACAAGAGCTCATCGAAAAGCTCGGTTCACCCAAGAAAATACTATGTTAGAGGTTTTCTTATTTTTGCAGCAAATGTAATATTTTACAACATGTAATAATAAAAACCAAACCACAATCTACATTTAACTTTGATCGTTTAAAGTTGCATTGGCCGACTTTTGGCCAACAGGGGGCAGCAGAGAGTTAACCTAACCTAATGCCACATGCAGCTGTTCCAGAGCTACATGATCATTCATGTGGTGTTCGCATATTTGTGCCCACCTGATGAATCAAAGTCCAACATGTGCTCTTCTTTCACTGTTTTTTTTTGGCCTCCACTCATGAGAAGAATGTGAGGCACACCTTTGACCATAAAAACCAAAGCTAAGAGCTGAAAGAGGATAAAGAGCTTTGCAGAGCTGGATGTTGATTCTCAGTAGGTTCAACACCTTTCACATTACACTCATATGTTGATATACAATAAAAATGTAAAGACAGCGTAATGCAAAGTCACACAGAGCAGTATCAAAGTATTAGTAAAACAATTACTTTTGTTCACTGAAAATATTGGTAACATCTTCTGAATTGGTAAGATTTCTACACATTTGGCACTTTTAAGTGAATAAAAAGACTATTTAAAAATGTTACGCACACCCATGTATATATAAAACCTTTAAAGACCCAGCAACACTAGCTTAAAATGGTCACGCTTTGCAGCGAAAGCAGCTCATTTCAATAGAATTGCTGCTGTCACACTGAGCAAATTAAGTAAATTGTTTAAATTCCACTTTGATCCACCTAAAGTGTGAAAACAGACCAACTTGGGTCTACATGTCCCAGTAACATACAAAATATGAACCAGCCTGGTGCTAGCACGTTAGCAGTTAGCTTGCCAGCTACAGAAGTGAGTCACTGTGTCAAGCTAACTGCTCAGTCTGATTTGATACATTTATTTCATCTTTTGCTGGTGTGACTGGAGCTTAACCCTTCATGGTACTGATCTATATTCACCTCATGTAAGAGGGAAATTAGCCATGGAAAAGATCTTACAACTCTGCAAGTGTCCAAACCAACAGCAAAGCGAAGGTTTGGTGAAGGCAGTGTCGATCATGTGAGGGTTAAAACTACTGTGCACTGACAATATCACAGTATATCGCTTAAATCTGGGGTTAATCACCTCGTATGTCAAACTTTGGCTGTGTAACCTCCATGTTTATATGGTTTTTCAGGCACTTCTACATTATTTAGTACCAAATGGCCATTTCCACTACAATATGCTGACATGAACAGTATTTAAGTCAGAAACTGGTAGAGTAATTCCCATAAGACAATTGTGGCATGATTTTTAGTCTAATCCACTCAGCCAATCAGGAACATGAAGAATTAAAGCTTTATCTGCTCCTCAGACCAAAGTTTGTTACATTTACAAAAAACACAACATTTACATTTCATACAGAGCTGATCTGTACCACCGGTGAAAACGAAGCACAGCTCATCTGTTGTTCAGCTTTGCTAAAAGTCTTGGCGTAGTTCAAGGCCCAAAATGATTGAATTTTAAAAGCTGTATAGTCGTAACCTTAGAAAGCGGTACAGTACTAGTTTTCCTCGACATGTTACATCCCAGCTTCCTGCCACACTTCTTTTTCTGAAGAAAATGTCCAGTTCTCTTTCACTTGTACAGGAGCAGAGCAGTGACTGATCACTACAGACCTTTACTGTCATGGGAGCTTCAGCATCACTGTGACGCATCACTGGCTTCAGCTTCTCATAAACTTGTCTATTATGACATACAGAATGAAGTGCACAGGTTCTTTTTCCATTCACCAGCTATAAAGACTCTCCTTGACTGTTACAGTGCTCCCACACCTCAGACCAGTCCTCCCAGTACGCTGCCCACTCAGCACCAATCCAAACGTCTCTCATGGTCTTGAATCATTGCACAAAACGAGGTCGGGAGGTGTGAGCATAAATTAAATGAAACTAGATTTGGTCCATTACTCAAATGTGGTTCTTACTAAACTGAAGAACTGCAAATACAGCTTTTAAAATATGCTTTCATACATTTTGCAGCCTCAGATTTTCCCCACAGGAAAACCACCATGTGTGAAAACCCAGTTAATGTACTAGATTTGGAACTGCCTCATCTCTGACTAGAGAACCCCACCCACCTGCTGCAGATTGAAGTGAATGCCATCGCCTGTTTCCATGTCCCACTGAAGCAGACCTGTGACTGTTTCAGCAGCATGTGAGCCTCTGATCCAGCACAGCCCTGTACTGTGGTGCGTTTCTGCACTGCTGGTGCTTTTCAGGCACTTCTACATTATTTAGTACCAAATGGCCATTTCCACTACAATTTGCTGACATGAACAGTATTCAAGTCAAAAACTGGTAGAGTAATTCCCATAAGACAATTGTGGCATGATTTTTAGTCTAATCCACTCAGCCAATCAGGAACATGAAGAATTAAAGCTTTATCTGCTCCTCAGACCAAAGTTTGTTACATTTACAAAAAACACAACATTTACATTTCACACAGAGCTGATCTGTACCACCGGTGAAAACGAAGCACAGCTCATCTGTTGTTCAGCTTTGCTAAAAGTCTTGGCGTAGTTCAAGGCCCAAAATGATTGAATTTTAAAAGCTGTATAGTCGTAACCTTAGAAAGCGGTACAGTACTAGTTTTCCTCGACATGTTACATCCCAGCTTCCTCTTTCACTTGTACAGGAGCAGAGCAGTGACTGATCACTACAGACCTTTACTGTCATGGGAGCTTCAGCATCACTGTGACGCATCACTGGCTTCAGCTTCTCATAAACTTGTCTATTATGACATACAGAATGAAGTGCACAGGTTCTTTTTCCATTCACCAGCTATAAAGACTCTCCTTGACTGTTACAGTGCTCCCACACCTCAGACCAGTCCTCCCAGTACGCTGCCCACTCAGCACCAATCCAAACGTCTCTCATGGTCTTGAATCATTGCACAAAACGAGGTCGGGAGGTGTGAGCATAAATTAAATGAAACTAGATTTGGTCCATTACTCAAATGTGGTTCTTACTAAACTGAAGAACTGCAAATACAGCTTTTAAAATATGCTTTCATACATTTTGCAGCCTCAGATTTTCCCCACAGGAAAACCACCATGTGTGAAAACCCAGTTAATGTACTAGATTTGGAACTGCCTCATCTCTGACTAGAGAACCCCACCCACCTGCTGCAGATTGAAGCGAACGCCATCGCCTGTTTCCATGTCCCACTGAAGCAGACCTGTGACTGTTTCAGCAGCATGTGAGCCTCTGATCCAGCACAGCCCTGTGCGTTTCTGCACTGCTGGCGATATAAAGGTGCTTCACAGCTGAAGAGTTTTACCACAAAATGCTGCAGAAAACAACTCTACACACATCTACAGCCACAAGTGGATGGGCTTCAGTACCTGCTAGGTAGCATTATATAAACCTATGAGTCAGACCTTTTAAGATCACTCAGAACTCTGGTCACTGACCTGTTTTTACCTTTTACTGCTGATGTAATTTCAGACTTTTCAGGTTAAAGGATCAAACATTAAGGCCGGGGAGCAGCTGCATTCACTACTGGCCTCAGTGTCAAGCTCCCAGTTCACTCCAGATTGAAGCACCTGATTAGTTTTAAGTGATTAGTATGAATCAGAGGGAGGTAGATGCCAGAAATGATTGTTTCTCAACAGAACTCCACCCAGGAAACCAGATTTTAGACTTTCACAATAAAAATCTGATTAATTTTGAGCTACACATCATTTCTAAATTGTGGCTACTTCATTTTTAACAAAACATTTCATATGGTTTCCTCAGGAAAATGGCACCTCATCACCTGCAAATTCCAGGTGCCCTTGTGTTTTGGTTCTTAGAAACAGTCACAGCTGTTAAACTGAAGCAAGGCGTCACAGCAACGCTCGCAGTTTGTTTTCTGCTCTGGGTTCATGGATTCTCCAGACACATGCTCACTTTGGACAGCCCAAACCAGCCAAGTTCAGCTACTAACAGAGGACACAGTTCAGAAATACACTGGCTACATTCGGATGTCTTGTGACTGATATGGACAACATTTGTTTCATGGCTGCTAACCTTCAGTAACTTAGGTCACCATGTTCATGAGCTCCTTCAGCTTTTTAACAGAAACATGTCGTCTGATTCTTTCAATTTACCGTTTCATCTTAGATCTGACGTATTTTGCAGAAAACCCAAAACATTTCCATAAATCCACCTTCACAACCAGTTACCACACAAACTTTGTTTTTAAAAGGACTCGCTGTCATCAACCTGGATGTGACACTGTGCTGATTTTCTCAGATTTAAAAGGTAAAATATAGAAAAGTGTCAGATTTAGTTTAAATCGCTGTAAAGCCCAAAACACCTCAGTGCATCAATACGTATTTAGATAAAGAATCCCATTGAAAAACGGTTGTTTTAAGTTGTGCGGGTGTTGCTGTAAAAGGGTTTCCAGAGCCCGCTGCAACTTGGTCCTTTAAGTGCAACTTACATGCAAACAGTGAAATATGAAATGTCTCCGAGTCCCATCAGACCCGTCTCTTCTCTCCCTCTTCCGGTTTCTCACGTTCTTTACTCGTTTCTTGATGTGATGTCCTGAAAAACAGAAGAGTTTCACTCATTTCTTCTGCTCAGAGGCAGAATGGGATCAAACGTGCTGGACTTGAGACTCACCTCTGTCTTTGCCCTCCTCCACTCGCCCAGCGGGCCTGACTTGGTCAGGACTGAAAAGAGACGGCACAGCACAAATGTTAAGAGTTTTCTCATCCTCTGATTTGCTTTTAAACATCAGTGTGAGGCCTGCAGCTTTAACGCTGATACTAACATTTCTGTATTAGAGCGGCAGGGTTCTTACATTTAAAACGCACTGACCATTTTCATTAAAAAAATGAAAGTGTTTTCCTGTATCCGGTCAAGTGGCAACTCAAAGTCACACATATACTGCTGCTCTAAAATGAAGACTGAATATTAAAATGTCAAATGAAAAAAATTTTATTACATGCAAAACTAAATATTTTACAGATGATCTGCCTATCAGTAAGAAACTTCCATCAACAGATCCACAGCGTTGACAGTGACGGATCCAGTTTAATGTAAACTCACTCATAAATGTTGTCATCGTCATGAACAAAGCTGAGGTGACTGCCGTGCTCCACCACAAACACCTGCACAGAACAACAAGAAGTCAAGTTTTTTCAGAACAATCCAGAAATCCACAATAAAATTCGACCTCTGGTGCAAGGATGGACTTGAGTTCTGACGTCTTGGGACTAAAACAATGAGTTCGGGATTTAAAACATTAAGAGCATTGTGCCTTTAAGAGTAATTACTGCAGGTGTGTCAGCCAATCACACACAAGTTCAAAGTGTCAGAAGTTGAAATATCTGAACAAATGATCGTTAGTTAAGAAGACTAAATAAACAACAGAAACCACTGTCTGTGTTTTCAGTGTGAAAGAGGAATGCACAAAAACAGGTTTTACCCCGAGTACACAGCTGTGAAGATGAAGATGGTGAAGATGACAAAGAGAAAGGCCTTCATCGTTAACCCTGAAACACAAACACATGGGGAGAAGTAAAGCAACACCAGTGAAACAAAACCTCGCAGCTCCGTTTGTGGGCAAGTCTATAAATTCGCATGTGCACTGACAGGGTTCGATTCTCATTAACAAACAACACTGGGGCACTAGTGAAACATTCCCAGTCATCATGATGTCACAGCTCACCTGTGTGCTCAGGTGAGGCCTGACAGCAGCAGTTGCTGGTGTAGAAAAGGGAGGGAGGCGGGACTTCTGAGAGTCCGCCCAGCAACTGAGTGAACTGCTCTGCTGACTGACAGACCTCAGAGCAAATCTCCTCCTGGATGAGCAGCTTCGGGGCAGGGGCCGCTTTGTCAGGAGGACACAGGATCTCTGTCGGGTCTGAAGGAGTGGAAACAACAGAAGATGGACTGTTAGACATTTTTTGGATTCAATTTCTAGCAGTGCTCTTCTTGTACTGCCAACAGTCGCAGCAGACTGCTGGCTGATCATCAGATCCATAACAAGGTTGAACTAAAGCTCCAGCTGTTACCCACCGTATGTAAAGCTGGAGCTGTCATCCAGCTTGCTGTCATTGAATCCAAACCAGGAGGACTCATCCAGCAGGGCCGGGTCTTCCTGGCTGCTCCTGGCCCAGTCCTGGTCTTGGTCGTATTCTCTGTCCGAGTCATTGTCCAGATCTCGGTCCTTGTTGTGTACCGTTCTGAACACACCTCTGAAGACTTTCTCATCCAGCCACGTCTGGCAGCTCTCCGTCACATCGCTCAGCAGACGAGCCAGCGAGCTGCGAGGCCTCCGTCTGCGCCTGAAGATCCTGAAGAAGAAAATGACATGAAACAGTCACACTGCTGGTTGCCGACATGTCAAACTCGTTTTTATTAGTTCCCAGCCTTTACTGTTACGCTCATCAGTGTAAAATGTGTCATTGCATTTGGGCAAGACAATGAGCCCCAGGTTGCCCCCCGATGGCCAGAACAGCACCTTGCAGGGACGGTGCCACCATCAGTGTGTGTGTGTGTGTGTGTGTGTGTGTGTGTGTGTGTGAGTGAGTGAGAGAGAGAGAGAGACTGCCGCCACAGACGGCTGACTCAGTCCTGTAACGGAGACAAATTCCTTATGTGTATAACATACTTGGACAAATAAAGTGATTAGCATTAACTTCATGCTAACTAGCTAGCTTCACCTTCAAAACAGACCAAAACAACTCTTTCTAGTTTACATAATTCTTTTGACATTCAGCACATAATGCAGACAGCGGTTTTTCTTGCTCTGATTATCTATTCTAAATGATTTTTATATGTTTGAAATGATAAAACAATCCCACACTTTAAAGCTACATTAACTGAGATTTAGTACAAAATTGGATAAATCAAATAGAAAATGTTTAGAAGTGTCGTCTCCCTGCTGTCCTATTAGAGGGAGCTTTAAATGACAAATGAATTTAACCATCAGTACGTTACTGTAACTAACTTTGTGTTGCTCTCACCTGACCAGATTCTCCTTGTAGCATACGTTGGTTTTGCAGGGTGTCAGTGACACGTTTCCATCATCATCCCAGGAGAAACTGTCCTCGGTGACAGTGTAGTACCCGTTGGTGAGGAGGCGCGGCGAGCGACGGTCGCCGCCATCCACAGAGGAGTAACAGACGTACGAGGAGTTGGGAGAGAGAAGAGACAGGTCGAGGCTGAGAGAGACACAGAGAGGGACACCAGTATAAAACCAGTCACCTGCAGACTGCAGGGGAGAGCGCGATCAGCTGTAATCTTCCCAGCGATGCACGCCGAGGCAGAACTCTACACAGGTCCTGTTGAACTGAACCCTGGTGCTGCTACTGCCTCATGTGAGACATGACCCCAGGTCAAGCTACGCTTGCTACACGGCTGCCTAATTTCATCTCTGACCTCACTAGGCCACACAAACGCACTTCAGAGCCCGACTATTTGTAACCAACTCCTTTTGAAAATAATGAATGTGATTTCACACAGACCTGAAACTCTGTCGACTGATCCCTTTTAAAAATCTTCTTCTTTACTACATTTAAAAAGGCTCTACATCAGGTTCAGAGGCATCTTTCTAAAGGTATTCAAGGCTTTTATAAAAGAACAGTTTCTGGAGAAGCAAGATGCCTGTGTGTCCTGCACTTTGATTAGGTTTGAATTGATCAGAAGCAAAAGACTAAAACAAAAGGGCGTGGACTGGATCCCACACCTGATACTTTGAGGTCAGGTAGCAGATCTTTGTGTTAAAACCCTGACATAACAACTGTTACATGCTAAACACCAGGACGAAGACACCCAGCGAGTGTTACATGCAGTGTTTTGAACTAAAATGCTAACATTAGCATTAAACTCTGGTTTAAAGCCACATTCACATCATAGAGTTGCACTAACTGTTTGCGAATCAAGTTCACGTTGACAACAAATTTGTATTTATGTGGGGAAGAGATTTCTTTGTAATTTGGATGCAGTGCCCTATTGTGCGCACACGGTATTTTAAGCAGTCACAAGTGGCCCAGTTAGGTTAGTCAGACCTACTCACAAACAGAAATCAAGTGCATATAATTTCTGGTGTGATGCCCTTAAACCTGCACAAAGTAGTTCTGCAGCAGTGACATGTCTGTAGAAGAGTGAGTTTAGAAAGAGGTTAAAGAAGCAGAAATTGTTACCTCTGACAGGAGTGATGGGCCCGCAGCCTTCGCTTTATGGGCGAACCTGAACAACAGACAGAACAGATCAGACCAGGCAAGCTCACTTCTGAAGCAGCTTTCTAGATAAAGACACCATGACTTGTATCAGTCTGAAGAGCCAGAGAACATTCCTGAGCCCAGCCTGGGAAACACAGCCCATGTGACGCTAACAAATACTGTGTAGGAATATGACAGACAGGGAGCTCAGCAGTAGTGGAAGTAGTACTCAGATCAGTGAGGTCTTATTATACTGCATTTTTTTGTATTAAGCCAGTTCTGAAAAGTAACTAGTAACTAAAGTTAAAAAATAAATGTGGTGAAATAAAAAGTAAAATGTAGTGAAGTCAAAGTATGAAGTAACAGAAAATGAAAACACAAGTACAGATACCTCAAAATTGTACTTAAGTCCAGTACTACATGTACTTGACTTTACTGTCCACCACTGGAGCTCAGGCTCTCACACAATGTCACAGCAGCAAAATCATGAATGAAAAGTGACTGAATGTTTGTTTTGCTGTGTCTGCCGTTGGCTACTGTGATTTACTGGTTTCACAGTCAAAGCAAAAAACTGCCTCAATCTCTCACTCTGTTACCGTTTTCTAACAAGAATCACCACTTCTTTTACTCCCCAATATGTTTTATTTAAAAGTGCTGCACATGTATCGTGTGTATGTGACGTTCATGCTGACGTACTTGTAACAGCTCCGGAGAAGAACAGGGACATGTTTGTCTACAGCCAAGTCTCTCCTGTCGATCTGTGGAAGACAACAGCAGCAGTGAGAAACAGGTGGCAAGTCTCCAGCACGGGTCTGTAAGAGTGGACTGATGTTTTCCCACAAAGCCCTTGTTAATGGAACCAAACTTCTCAAAAGTTAACGGACAAGCCTGGTGTTATTTGTTTAAACCCACAGACTCAGACCGACAACCTGCTCTGTCTGTGGCCCTCAGCCCATTAAAAACTTAAAGTATATACAGATATACATTTCTCTTTTTTACAGATTGGTCAGTGACTTCCTAAAACAGCTATTGACTGTAGTTTGGATTAGGCAGGAGGATGGAGTTCTGCTAATCCCTGCAGCTCCTCTCTCCAGGCAAAGCACTGAGGAGATTAACTCAGTCAAGACTCTACAGGCTAATATAAAACTAATCCACAGTGATCGGACAGAAAAAGACAGGCACACAGCAGATGTTTGTTAAGCCTCACCTTCAGACTGGTTCCCACTCAGATCTCAGTGTGGTCTCGGTTCTCAGCGATGTGTTGTCCGCTGTGGTTCTCTCACACCCTGTGCCGACAAAGCAGCAGCAGCTTGAGGAAAAGAATGCAGAAAGAAAAACAGAGGGGCTGTGACTCTGAGCTCACGTTTCCTGTTAACTCCTTCTCAGCTGGGGAAGCGTCACTGGGGGATCAGGCACCGAGCTGGACAAGTTTTGTGCCCATGTCTACTTTACTAAATCCTTCACAGTGGCCACAACTAGAGCTGCAACAGCTGATTGACAAAGAATTAATCAGCAACTACTCTGATAATTAATCCTTTAAGTCATTTGACATAGATGGAATAACTTGCTGTGTTTTCATACCTTACATGTACTGGTTCTGCATGTTGTAGATTTCTACAATCAAGAAAAGAAGACAAAGATAAACTTCTTTTGTTGCCACAGCCATGTTGTTTCCTGTTACTTCACACACACATCAGACCACGAGACGCTGACGCTCTCTCTACAGTCTAATATGTAAAACCTGACTTTTCAAACTGTTGCCTAACAATCTGCAACAGATTAGCGGTATATAGGATTAGCTGTGGTCATTTGATTCTAATCAAATGAGTCCAATCGCTATAAGACATGAGGGCTGGTGTAAATTAACCCACAAACAATTGAGCTAAACTAACAAAGAGTTTCCATTAAATATGAAAAAAAACAACACAATTTATGTTTTCTTGGGCTTTTTGTTTGCCCTAATAAAACGTGAGTAGTAACACTGTGCTTCTCTTATTAGTTCTGAGCAAAATCTGTTGCATTATAAATTTTTTTGATGCCTTTATTTTCAGGTTGTTGTTTTCTTCCTAGCTCATCTCTGTGTACAGTACTCTGACGTACATAAAACAAGCAATCACTGTTTTTAAATGTGCTCCACAAACTAATTGGTTTGACTAGATTTTGTGTTTGTTAAAGTATCATGACTGGAAATCTGGGCCTACTGCACGTTCCTGCTGTGTTTACAGACATTTCTGATGTAAACAAACCTGTGTGTAACAATCTAGAATGGCACATTTCAGTCCTGTCTTGACTCTTTGGATCACATATGGTACCTTTAAAGCTCAGTACGGAGTGACTGTGGGTAGCCTCACTTACCAGAAGCAGACTGGTAGCTAGGCTAACCACATCCTGACTCTATAGCACCCACAGCTCAGAAAGCAATTAAGTTTTTTGTTTTGCACAACTATTACTGTAAAGGTGCAAACTGTGGTGAGAATGCACCTTTTCATCATCAGTGTGAAGCATCTAAATCTGCTACATAAACACTGTGCTCCTTCTGAGGCACCTTACCCTCTCACCCTCCTCTGTTTCAGCTGAAAAATGCACTGTGATTTAAACCAACACAAACAGTACACCCCCCAGGATTCTTCCCATCCTGTTTCCCAGAATGCCTTGCATCAGCAGCCTGTCTCCGTTGGAGCTGCTGATGCTGGAGGGAAACGCGTAGCAGGAAACGAGAGATGGATCAAACCATTTCAGCTCCATCACGGACACTGCGCTGCCGGGAGCGTCCCCGTTACACCTCTGTGACATTTAAACACGAGCCCGCTGCTGGTTTGACCGCACAGGGCAGAATTTCTAAACCCTTGTTGTAATTTGACAATTTTTAATATTAGTTTAGTGCTTTTTTTATTACTTAAAACTATATTTGGCAAGTGTCTCATACTGTGTTTGTTGTCCTTAAAGTTCTAGAAAATTATCATTTCTTTAATACTACTAATATTATGGCTTCACGATTTTTTTCAGCTGCAATAATTCCCAAAATATTTCCATGATACAAATCAATACAATGATGTGGTATTGCTGTTGGTATCGCCCTAAAATCCTACACGATTATAAAATAACATTAAAACATGCATTGCACCTTAATATAGTAATTCATCTTTGCCATAATGCAATTTAAGAAACCAACTACAATTAGACAAAGTCTTAGAACTGTGATTAAAATAACGTCACGGTTTAACACTGTCCAACCAAAAGCTTAAACAGTGTCGGTTTTGTACTTTATATTTTTAAGTTGACCTCAGAATCTCCTGTACAAACGCGGACAAAGAAAAATAACGGGACTGAACTCACCGGTTTATTTTCCTCCCGGTTTCTCTGCCGGGGGTTTGAAGAAAACGTCGTCTTCCTGCTTTTTTTGTTGTTTTAAAACTGATTTTCTTGTGGACAATGAAACGACTCGGACTCGCAGCTGTTACCGAGCCTCGCCCACACACAGAAAACACCAGCAGCTGCCAAATTAAAACAAAACAATACAGGTTCCGGTCAGAGCTTTCAGAGTAAGAGCGATGATAACCGATATTTAAATAAGCATGATTTTTAATCTATATGCAATGTTCTCAAATGTAATAAAAGGTTTTGTATTAAATACTATCTCAATTATGATGAAAGTGTCCAGACGTGTTCCTGTAGTTTAGTTCAACTGAACTATATAAATAGGCAGATTGTGAAACAGATGTAACAGTATAATAAACATTGACAAATATAAGCAAAATAAAGCAGCACTTGTCTTAAATGTACCGATGTCAGTAAACATTACAGTTTCTAAACGCAGCTCTCATTATGAAACCAATACAGTACTACGTGATCCTGTCTTTCGAGCATATCCATTGTTATTGACTTACTCTTTTATTTGTTATCACCTTATTTTGAAGGAACAAGACCATAATGTCCGGTGTAAACTCGACTTCCTTCAAGCTGCTGCAGAGGAGGAAGGTTTAAACTTAAAGCTTTTAAATTAAAATGAGACCCAACAAAGTTCAGAATTAATCCATCATCTTCTGGCAACTAGTGTCCAGTTCACTCACATTCAAAGATTCTGTGGCTTCAAATTCACTTCAGACTTTTGATAATAGTTATCAGTGTTTATTTTCTGGTACACAAGTGGTATTAAATATTTAAAAAAAAATAAAATCAGTAAATATTCACAACAAAAGACAAAACTGATTAATTGTTCAACTATAAATGTTGAATAGCTGCAGAACTGCACAGATAAAGTTTAGTTTTCAGTTTTTAAGTCAGACTCCATTAAGCTTTAAGACTGTGGCATCATGAGACTCAACACTTAAGTTACAGTAAGAAAAGCATGAAACCTGGTGGATTCTGGTTTCTGTTGCAGTACTGAGACTAAGCGAAGAGACCGGCGGCAGGCTCGGCGATGTTTGTGGCGTGCATGTCGCGAGTCATGTTGGACTTCTCTCTGAGTTTGGCCTGCAGAAGCGCTTGCTCCACGACGCCGATCCTCTTGTCCATCCAAATGATCTCCTGCTTCAGCTTCGTCAAACTCTGCTTGATCTTCACCACCGGAGCTGAGGGACACAGACACAAGAACAGAGTGTAAACACTGAATAATGTGAGTGGACAAACAAACAAACAAAGGGTCTGACCTCCATCATACATGCTGCTGCCTTTCTCCTCCATCTCCTGCTTCACTTTCTCCAGCTCCTCACTGATCTGAAACACACACAGAGAAGGTCAAACTGTCTCTGAATGAAGAAATGCCTAAAAAGAAAAAAGATGAAATCCAGTTAACCATCGGGTTTTTAAATGAAATCCCAGCAGCCTGGGTGCAGACATTTTCCTGCATATTCTTCAACAGTATTAATTCTGTGACTTTTGAGCCTCCAGTAAATGCTTGTCCTAACTGCTTTTATTGCATTCATCTATTCTTCTTCTATCATTGTTTTATGTACTGATGCTGCTCTTCTAATGCTTTATCATGTTCACTAAATATGGTTTTAAAGGCCCAGTTAAATTCATACAAAGTAAAAGAAAAATCTGCAAAAAGTGTTTATTATTGGATCAAAACCAAGAAGATGTGCCTGATGAATGATATTAAAATGCTAGACGATGTGTTCACTTACCTCTGCCAGGACTCTGGTTCTTTCAGTCACTCCTCCGCTGGCCTGCTGGTAGCGCTCCTTAGCCTGGTAGAAGAGACAACTGCTGAAATGTACACGTGAAAACTACAGGATCTTTGGCTGTAGGAACCTTGTAACCTTTAGCAGTAAACTGCAGGATTCTGCTCCCAGAGCACTTTAATACCTGTGTTACAGTCATACTCACTGATTGAGGGCCCTTTGGTTATTTATTACAATATCACAGTTGGTCAGTACTTCCCAGCCTTATATACTGTAACAATAGATCCTAATGATATAATTGATTTAAATCACATGAGCTGGATAAGCAGAATAAAATGGATGGAAGGATTAACAAGGAAACCTGATGAATTTGCTTAAGGTTTTGCTAAGATGTGCTAAACCCCTTGGCCACTGGGAGCTGATGGTCCTCCTGAAACGCCACACAAAGGGTGAAACAGTTTCCTGCAGCTCAACCCACTGATGCAACAATCCCACTTTTAATTTATATCTTTATTTAGGCTCCCAACAGCCTGCAGTCATGTTCAAACATTTTTATAACTGGCAAATGACTTTAAGACTTCGTAATAGTCGAATCTGATTCATACAGCCCAGTATCACAAAAATCTACTTCCAGTAGCTCGGTACTTAGACCCTGGAATCGAATTAGGTAAAACACCCCAAAAAATGGAAAGAAACCTCAGGAAGAGCACCAAAGCTGGCTCCTCTTCCAGGACCAGACATGCAGTACAGAAGAAGTCACACTAGATGTACAGCATCGGGACCTTCTAAGGCCTTTTTTGGAGGAAACTGATTTCAGTGGTTTTGCAGTTACACTGAAAAGCCCAGCTGCACAAACTTAGCTCTGTGCTGGAGTATCGTCATGTGTCATCAGAACCAAGACAAGTTGGAACACCACTGCTTCAACTCTGAAATCCTCACTAGAGCAGCTATACAAAGAAATGAGAAACATGGTTTCATCATCATCCTGACCTTCTGGTACAAGAGCTGGAGTGTGTCCCCATTTGTCTGGTTTGATGTGAAGGTGACTTTGTCTGGGGTTTACCTCGCTGAGTTTGGCCAGAGCGCTGCGGTAGTCCTGGATCAGATGATCCATCTGGTTGTTGATGTATTTCTCTCTGCTGCTCACCTTCTCCTGAGTCTTTCCGATGTCCTCCTGCAGTTTGTCCAGGTAGCTCTGCAAGGAATGAGTGAGGACACACCAGGACAACATGAGGACACAAAACTGGATATCATGAAGGATGTCTCCAGTGAAGAAACCCATCACTTTTAAGGTTCAGTCCACATCACCAAAGAGCTCTACAGTAGCTTCTGAAAAACTGTTTCCTCAAGGAAACAAGAGGAATGATTTTTCTCTGGCTGTCAGGTGATTGACAAGAGACAGTTTAACATAATGCTGAGCTTATAAGAAAACAACTCCAATCTCATTGCCCTGAGAATGTAAGGTTAAACAACAATCTGATCATCGTAGCTTCAGGGTGTCCAGTGTGGGATGGCAGGTGTGGTGGTGTAATGTCAGCTGTTGGCTCTTCACACTTAGTGTCTCACTCGGGTCATTTACTTCCATGAGCTGTCACAGCTTCCATTGTCTGTTACATCAGTCTTGTAAATTTAAAAACACACTTTCGACTTACTTCTATAATTTGAATGTCCCTGCTTTGCCCTGTTTTTCTTCTTCACTATCAGTCAATGGTGGAACTACCCAATGCAGTGTATTGATGGTATTAGAAAAGACACTACCCAATGCAGTGTATTGATGGTATTTCACAAGACGTAGTACTGCAGTATCTTGCCATATCAGTTCTGTATGTTGTAATAAAGATGTCACACAGAAGAGAACTGTTGTAGTGAAGATGAATGTTAATAAGTGTGCACAAGGATTCAACACTGTCCCTACAGACAGAGTCCAGCAGGTGGAGCCAAAGACACAAAGACACAAAGACCGACTGCAGTTAATTACTGAACCAGGTCGGCGAACGCACCTTTGCCTCTTTGAGCGAAGACTTGATCTCATCTTGATGTTGATGCATCTGGTCCACATGGATCCTCCAGTCCTGCAGACCAGCACACACCAGAAGAAAACTGAAACAAGCTACAAACACACACTTTGTCATAATATAAATCCTCAAGATTGATTCATTAAATTGTAGATTTTATCCACAGCGTTTATGTACTACGATTACATACTCACTTTGGAGTTTGGTACATCTTGTTTTACTGCCTAAACTGAAAGGCGATAACATATGACTTTTACCATAATAATATTTAATTGTAGTAATACAGTACTTTGTATTTGAGCACATTTTGATAACCACAGTTTATCTCAAAAGACATTTGGCTCTGTGACTGCATCGACAGGCAGATGACAGACTGCTGCCTTCAGGGACCAGTGAGACACTGAAATGAGACTGTAAATCTGCTTTGGAGTCTGCCTCTCTCCTTCAGTTAGCCGCAGCCTCAAGTCCACTCAGAAAAGCTGTTGTTCCACCTCCTGCCTGCTCAGACTTTAAATTGAAATTGACTTTGTTAATCGAATGTGCTCCCTCGGTGTCTAATGTAAATGTAGAGCAACGACCCCGAGTTCTTTGCTTTTCACTCACCTTAGAAAGTGAGTTCTTTGCTTTTCACTCACCTTAGAAACAGTAAAACAGTCACAGTAAAACAGCAGCTTGTGTTTAAACAGTTTGAAATCTGACATGAGATCAGTTTGTTACTGATTCAACCTGAGGCGCAGCCAGCAAAGATTTTGACAGATGTGGGACAGATGCTGGTGTGGGGATGGATGAATCTATTGTTCTATTTCAGATGCTGCTAAACAACCAGCTCCAAACAAACTGCTACTGATATTGACTTTGTACATTGTGCAGTTGAAGTTCAGTTCATCTGCAATGAGACCCTGCAGCTCTTCTCATCACCAGCCCGCTCATCTACTACTCTACTGATGCACAAAATCTAGAGTTGGGCTGTAACTAACTACATTTAGTCAAACACTGCACTTAAGTAAAGATGTGAGGTACTTGTGGAGTGTTTCCATTTTGTACTTCTACTCCATGTAATTCATCTGACAACAACATACAAAGTAGTTCACATTAGCAGCAGCACTTTATTTTGAAGGTCCTGTTATTTCAGAGTCATAAAAATATGTGTAAAAAAGTACAAATTATATGTAAAGTATGGACAATATTCAGAGAGTTATTTGAGTTGAATTAGTTAAGTTTGATTTTCATTCACTGATTTGCGGCCAGTATCTTAATGACTGACTACGAGACTAATGTCTAAGTAATGCTAGCAATTTATTGGACCTAATTAAAAGTGTGCCAATTCCTTAAATTAATACCAAACCACACTCCATTATTTTCAGTAATCTTCAGATGAATTTACATTTACATATCAGATACTTTATAGGGGATTAGGGGAAACTCTGGGACCTGCAAAATAAAGTATTCTAAAGTCGCAAACAGGAGAAGCAGCTCAAACTGATCCTGGATCAGGTCTAGGAGTGAAGCTGGCTCAGACAACCTGAATGACCTCTGAGCCCCAGGTGACGGTGGTGTTCAGATGAGCGTTCACCTTGTTGTCGGTCCTGATGGTGACCTTGAGCTGTGGCAGGACTCTCTCCACCTCCAGATTCCACTCTGCCGCATCAACAGTTGACTCCAGGATCTCATCGGGTTTAGAGGATGGTTCCGCTTCCTGTCAGGGAACAAACAGCAAACATTTCTGAATCAGGTTTCAGGTTGGCTGAAAATGGAGCTCTCAATAAAATATGCAGTTAGATGAGCTTTAGAAACTGGTTTGATTCATCAAGTCATGTAACAGAATTTAAATCCTCAGGTTTCCAGGTGAACCCACAGTGTGAGTGGTCCGTAGCTTCAGAGCCTCCAGATCCATCACAGTCTCCTCCTCATCATCATCAGGCTCCTCCTGAGTTTATATACACACACAGAAATATTCATGAGCTTTACTCAGATTCACAACAGGTTCCAAAGACAATATCACTAATTTACACCATCACAAGACTAAAACATGAAAAGTAAAATATCACTGCCCAAGTCTGGAGACTGCACCGATGGCCACAGAAACAAAGTGAACCCTCTGTGTGAACCAGATTTTAACCTTTTACTTTTCCTGAACGGATCATTCCTGAATTACATAAAACTTCAGTACATTCAGGTCATTTAAAACTCCCCTAAGACAAAAATTGTTTCACAGACTGAACCTTCATTTTTGCATCATGACATTATTTTAATATCTGCTATAGAAATTATGAACCAGTAGTTCAGTTTGTAGAGCTGTAAGAGAATCTCATTGTTCACAGTTGTGGGTGTAACAGCAGTGTCAAAAAAAGTAATTAACATCAAGCTCTGATCTAATGTTAAGAGATAATACAACAGACAAACCTGTCTGGAATCAAACAGGTACAAAGTTCAGAGTAACTACTAAACATTTCACATGAGCAGTACCACGAAAAAAGAAAAAGAAATGAGGGACACTGACAATCATCTCCTCCTCTACTTTGCTGAGTGTGAGCTCGGCATCATCCTCTATCACAGACTCTTCTTCTGTGGTTTCTGTTGGGTAGTTTGGTCTGGAAAGAAAAAAAAAACCCATCAACACCATCTGCTTCTCCTGAATAAAAAGTGCAAACAAATTCACTGTAAACAGAATCAGTTTTTTTTTGTTTGTTTGTTTGTTTGTTTGTTTTTACAGCCAAACATCTGAACTGAAATGTTCAAATCACAGCCTTTCAGGCCTGAGAAAAAACTTGCTTGTAACCAAAAGTAAATAAAAACTATAAGTTTAAAAAAAGAAGAGACTGCCATGCTCAGGGGTGAGGGGAGAATGCTTTATACAGGTGAGGAGAGGAGAAATGTCCAAGTACCTTCTGAAGGAAAAGCCCTTCCTCCTCAGAGCCTCCTCAGCCAGTCGGTCCAACACCAGGCACACGTATTCACCCGAGCCAGTTTTTAGTTTGGAGGGCGGGAAGTCCACCTTAACACCCTGACAGACAAAGTGAGGGGTCAGTCTCCTGTACTCTCATATCTGTGATGTCTTAGAACAGCATCTGACACAGAGAGGTCACACTCAAACACACTGGCACATCATTTATTGCTCCATATTTAATTAAACCATTTTATTCACCTGTCAAATCACAGAGAATCTAAGTTTCCATTAAACGATAACTGTGACACTTTTTAGTTTTTATTCTGAGTCACGTGAGGCAGACACTAAATTCTGAAAGAGACAAATATAGCAACAAAAAACTGTCAACTACAGAAGCTTGTATAGTCCGGAGGGCTGCATATTGTTTATCTAATACCGGTGCTGATATGACACCAAAACTACACTATGCCTGATCGGGCCATGAAACACAAAGATGTTTTACAAATTTGACATTAGAAGCCAAAGTTGTCAAATATTAAGTGCTCTCTGAACACAAGGACTCCTCTAGAACAACAATTACAACACAACAAAAACCTGGAAGAATTCATTTTAATCAGGAATTGTCTGACCAAAAACTGTGTCAATAAGATTATGAATCTCACCAGACATTTGGTGCCAATTTTTGGTACTTATCTTGTACTATTTTTTGACATTTTTAGTGCCAAAATTACTGAAAGTAAAACTGAGGTTGAATATGCAGTTTCGATTCACAGCAACAATGTTTCTTGCTTTTCCTTGATCAGATGGTTTCAATGCGATTTCAGACCGTATTTTATTTGAGCTTTGCCTTCTTTAAAGTGGAGGTAGGAAGGTACTGTTTTATCGGTACAGAAACCCACAGCATTGTATGTGGCATTGGTGTGGCACTGAGTTGCTTTTTTAAAATTTTATCTCTCGTTTCAGTTAAAAGTAGTCTGTCAACATAAAGCGACTTTGAGCAGTGAGAGCACATTTTCACAGGTGCAAAACAATAACAGCCTATCAGTGATAAGACTGTGTGAGTTGGTTGATTTCACACAGTTCTTGAAAGGCTAAAAACTATATTCATATACTGATTTTGCTGTATAAAACCCATTTTATTGCCTGAACAGGAGTTCTGATTTTATTTCAGCTGTTGCAGACAGTTTTTGCATGGGAATGAAAGGATGTTCCTGTGTTTTACAGCTGACAGAGCTGAGCATCACTTACGAAAGCCCTGAGCTCTGCCAGGATGTTGGACAGGGTGGCATTGGGCTCATCGTACTCCTGAGGCTCAGTGAATGGTCTCCCTGCAGCGTTGATGAGCCACGCTGCGATGATGGTGAACATGTAGAACTGCTCACCCGGGTTGGATGCCACGTATGGACTTGACACAAAATAATGTCTGATAGCAGAAAACAGAGGGGAGACCATAAGGAGTAATATTTTATATTTGCATGTAGTTTATGTGAAAGATTTTACACTTATTATGAACAACTACTGACTGTTAGTGGTTACTTCTGGTGAAATCACAGTACAATTAAAAAAGGAACTGATTTATTTGGAGTCCAGTTAACGTTAAAAAAAAAAAATAGAATTGCACACTCGCGAGATCCAAACGTTTTGGCTAACTGGCTAGAGTTAAGTTATTTCTCACCTGGACAGGTTCTTCATGTTGTGTTTGGCCAGAACTTCCTCCTCATAATTTAACATCTTCAGCTTCTCGAGTAAACCCTCCATCACCACAAACACCTTGTGGGCTGCTCCGGGACCGCGGTCATCGTCATCTCCCCGTCTACCGTCATCCGCCATCGTTTGTTGTTTGCCAGCCGACAGTCAGACAACTAAATGTTAAAATAAACAAAGACGAAATCAGTTTTTGGATATCTTTAGCCAGCTAGCTGTGGCCCGGTTTGTTTGGCTTCCTCAGCGTTGTCAGGCAACCAAGAGCTAACGCTAGCTGGCTATGCAGCTAACGTCAGGACAAACGACATTAGCAAAACGTAGATTCAAACTCATAACTCAGTCTGCGGGATATATACAGGCCAACAAGTCACAACGCGTCATGATTACAGAAATTAAAGCACTGAATTGGTTAACACCATCAGCTAGCTAAACTCTCAACATCGGCTTTAAGTCCTTCCGTAGAGACCTTCAGTATAAAAGCCGCTTTTCAACAGATTTAAAGCTTAAACATTTCATTAGAACAAAAGTAGATTAAAAAACTATTTTCAGTGAATGAGCTATAAAAATGTAGTTATTGACTTTGTTTGAAAATTCCACTTTCGAGAAATTTATTCACCTTATTCAATTATGAGTCACTATTAAACAAAATATGAATAATTCTTAAGCTTCCGAAGCTAGAATACAAAAATAGATATAACTTTGCAAAACAAGATTTTTTTCAGCCTGAGCCTGACAGTGACTTTATTACTTCAACCTAAAGGATCTGAATACCACTCCCACCCCTTACTTTGCACAAAGATCACTGAAAATTAAGATATATTTGTGGATCGGAACTGGATTTGTTCACTTTGCTTTGTGAACAGACAACTGGGGGTGATCATACATCCTCTATTTTTAATATATTAGAATCAATTTCTTATATTTTAGCCATTCATCCTTCCCATACATTCCATCCAACTTCAACACAACCTTATGGAAGCATAATACAGAGTTTCCACCTGTTAAAACACACACACACAGTGGATGTATGCGTGCATCCGTGCATATCAGTGAATAATTTACAACTCCAGTCCCCTGCGGTGCAGCAGCAGCAGCAGTGCAGGGAGGGAGGGGGCGCTTGTTTCATCTGCATGCTGCTCCCTGCCTGTCTATTAGCACACAGGTGGAGCTCTCTGGTGACTGTCTGATTGACAGGCCTTCTGACTGCCCACTGACATCACCTCCACTGACTCAGCTGAGCTAAGATATGCAATTATACAAACATATGGAGGTGTGGGTGTGGTGCAGGTGTATTATAGAAATAGACACTATTTACAGCCAGACTAGATCCAGGATGCGTTTAGCCTAGCTTAGCACAAAGACTGGAAACAGAAAAAAACTGTTAGATTAGCTCCACTACAAGATGAAAATCCAACAGGGATGGGGCGGTAGACTCTGAATGCTGTTTCAGAATTCTCATCTCACACTGCAGATATTTCTACCCACCCGGTGTTGCCAGTGCTGGTGGTTAATACTAATCAGTGCCGACATGTCAATTAAAGATGTTCAAGAAAAAAGTGAAACCAAGCCAGTTAAAGATAAACTTGCCACATTTCTCTGTAGAAACAGTTACTGAGATGGAGAATGCAAAACACACACAGAAGTCTGGCAGGCAGGTGAAGATTAAGAGTGTATTGAACAGTTTATTGGAAACAGAGGCTTACATTTAGTCTAGGCAGGCAAAGCTGAGCAGGGAGAGACTGAGGCAGAGTCCAACCACAGTCAATGCCAAGCTGACAGTCCAGATTAATGATAAGGCTTAGGCAAACTGAGAGCATGAGCTACAACACAGAGAATATAACAAGAAATGAATATTGGTTGCTGCCTTATAAAGTGAGGTGATTGCACAGATAAAAAGCAGGTGAGTGTGGGTGGAGCAGAAAACAGGAACAAAGGCAAGGGGAATGAGAGGGAAGACACAGGGTGGAGACAACAAACTGAATCATGCACAAGGTACAAATATAACCACACATTTACATGAATTAACACATACTGTATAAAAATTAAAAACCTCTAACGTGTGAAGCCATCTAGCCGGAGGCTGTCACATCGGTATTTTTTGAATATTGTGGAGCAGCTGTGGCTCAGGGCCAGAGCGGATTCACCTCTGATTGCAGGAATGGTGGTTTGATTCCCGGTCTCTCTAGTCCAAGTGTCCTTGGGCAAGACACTGACACTCAAATTGTTCCCGGCACCCAGGCCAACGCCTTGTGTTTGAGCATGTGGGTGAATTTGTAAAGTGGTTTGTCCAGTGCTAAATAAGTGCAGTCCATTTTAATAATATTTCAGTTATTATGGACAATATTAATAATCTCTTGACCAGTTTCTTGGCTCAAGTCTGTTTATCACAGCGACACATGTGATTCATTATTCATATAAAAAGTATCAGCTGATTATAAACCCTCACACCGACATCCAGCTACTGTTAATGACTCTCCTCCAGATGCCCACACATCAGACTCACCCCTGAGAGAGTCTTTACGCAGCCTGAGCAGAAAGGAGACCCGGCTTCAGCTCTGCTCTGGTGTGATTACAGGCTCAGTGCAGCCAGTCACCATGTCAGCCTGTGTCCTGGCCTCCTTTTCTTGGCTTTCCAGCATTCGATGGAGAGGTAATTTGGAGGAGAGGCAGAAGTGGATCCCTGGCCTAACCTGAGCGAGGCGGTAATGAGCAGTGGCTGCTAGAGGACCTCGCCTGAGGGCCAGCAGGAGGCTTATCAGCCCGCTGGGCGTCATTCAGAAACCCTATTTATGCCGCTTTGCACAAAAATAACTGTTAGCTGAGAGTCATTATTTCACAGGATGTTTTCTAAAAGGGGTGATGGGTGACATTTTTACTGCTCTGCAGCAATAAGTGACCATGTCAGGCTGATGTGGTTGTCAAGGTAATGAGGATTTATCTGAATATGTGAGGTAGCTCTGCCAGTCATATGCACATGGCTCACAAAAGATAAAAATATTACAGTTTCTCTTATCTCTCAGGCATAGCCAACCCTTATATGGGTGACTGTGTAATGTGCAAGGTGCTCCTGGTATTTCTGAACCGACATGGAACCATCACCTCTGCAGTTCTACTGAGCTGTTTAGCCTCAGTTAGCTCTTTTTTACATGACACTTGACTGTTTGCTCAGTCTCAGGGTTTCCAGAATCAGCAGTCAGCTGTTTTCATCAAGCAAACCCTGATAAACTCACTGTCTTCTACCTGCCTGGCAGAGCAGCTTCTACCTATAGGCAATATAAGCAACACTGTAGGGCCCCCACACTGAAATAATATGATAAAGGAACATTGTGGCTATTTGAATAAAGATATTCAGCATTATCCTATTGCACAACACAAAAAACAGTAAAATACTAAAAATAAATTAATACAATCACCTTCCTTGCTGCTAAACAGCATTTTTACTCACTGATAGGATAGGTTCCTTATTTGCACTGCTGGTCATTGTGATGTTGGCTGTAAACATTTTATTAAAAATGGTTATTTGGAATTGTCATATTATGTTTTATTAGTACGTTAAGGTCTTAACTTAACAATGTCGGACTCCATAGTTTTCTCTGGGCCCCTACCCAATGTGACCAGTGATGACATGTTTAGCCGCATGTCGTCATTCAACCGCTGGTTGTCTAGGTGATGCCCAGAAAATAACTTGGGTTTCATAGAGAACTGGAAAACATTTTAGGGAAAACCCGGTCTGATTAGCAGAGACGGCATCCATCCCACTTTGGGTGGTGCGGCTCTCTTATCTAGAAATCTGGACGAGTTTGTTTTACAACCTAAATTATGACAACCCAGAGTTGAGTCCAGGATGCAGGGTCGCAGTCTTAGACGCCTCTCTGCTGTCTCCTTGCAGCTGCTACCCACCCAACGCTCCCAGTACCCCATAGAGACTGTGTCTGCCCCCCGCCCACCTAAATTATATAAATCAAGAATCAACTCCAGAGGAGTTATTCATAAGAACCTAATTAAAATTAAGATGACTCCTCTTATAGTAGAAAGTAATAGGACAATCAAATGTGGACTATTAAATATCAGATCTCTCTCATCTAAATCTCTGTTAGTGAATGATTTGATAAGTGAACATCACATTGACTTATTGTGTCTTACTGAAACATGGTTACAGCAGGAAGAATATGCCAGCCTAAATGAATCCACTCCACCTAGTCACAGTAACTGTCACATCCCTCGAAACACAGGAAGGGGTGGAGGTGTGGCAGCGATGTTTGACACAAGCCTATTAATCAACCCTAGACCTAAACATAGTTATAACTCATTTGAAAGTCTCACCCTGAGTCTCTCACACCCAAACTGGAAAACTCAAAAGCCTGTTCTGTTTGTTATTGTATACCGTCCACCTGCTCCTTATTCAGAGTTTTTAAGTGAATTCTCAGACTTTCTGTCTGATTTAGTGCTTAGTACAGATAAAATAATCATAGTAGGCGACTTTAATATTCATGTAGATGCCGACAATGACAGCCTCAACAATGCATTCTGTTCATTATTAGACTCAGTTGGCTTCTCTCAAACTAAATAAACCCACTCACTGTTTTAATCACACTCTTGATCTGGTTCTGACATATGGCATCAAAACTGAACACTTAATAGTTTTTCCCCATAACCCTCTTCTGTCTGACCATTTTCTAATAACTTTTGAATTTACATTAATGGATTAT